ATTTAAGAAAGATTATAATAAAAACAAGTAAGATAATGATTACCTGCGTTTTCCAGTTCAGAGTTGTAGGTGGTGGGGAGCCTGTCCTGGCAGCTCAGGGTGCAGGGCAGGAGCCAACCCTGGCTAGGGTGCCATTCCACCACCAGGCACACTCACACACACGCCACCATACTCGCTCAGACTGGGACCATTTAGACATGCTAGTGAACCTAATGTGTGCACGTCTTTGAGATGTGGGAGGAAAAGAAAACCCACACAGGCATGAGGAGTACGTGCAAACTCTACATAGACAGTAGCCCTATCTGGGAATCAATTTTTTTCTTCTCTCATTGTTATAATGAAATAATGTTGAATGAAACAATGTTATTTGAGAGGACCTGCTGTGTAGTAAATATATAAACCAGTAACATAGTCATTTATTATCATTTATCAAGTATTATGTACGACACATAATTGTATGTGCTTGATTTTTATATGACTGGGAGCTCAGTAGTTTTGTTTACACCAGCATCACCACAAACACGTGAGTAATGCATTGCATTAACAACATCACAATGGCTGTAAGTAGGCAATAGTAATTTTTTAGCTCCGTTATAATCTTATGGGAGCACCGTCATATATGCGATTCATCATTGTTGACCAAAAAGTCATTATGCGGCATATGACTGTATTTAAACTTGCCATTCTAAGAAAACTGGGGGTTTTTTTTGTTTGTTTTTTTTTTGTTTTGTTTTGGGACAGAGTCTCATTCTGTTGCCTTGGCTAGAGTGAGTGCCGTGGCGTCAGCTTAGCTCACAGCAATCTCAAACTACTGGGCTCAAGCAATCCTACTGCCTCAGCCTCCCGAGTAGCTGGGACTACAGGCATACGCCACCATGCCCGGCTCATTTTTTCTATATATTTTTAGTTGTCCAGATGATTTCTTTCTATTTTTTTTTTTTAGTAGAGATGGGATCTCACTCTTGCTCAGGCTGGTCTCGAACTCCTGAGCTCAAACAATCCGCCCGCCTCGGCCTCCCAGAGCGCTAGGATTACAGGCGTGAGCCACCGCGCCCGGCCAAAACTGGGGTTTTAATAGTATCAAATTTTCGGTTGATTTCACATTTTCTGAGAACAAGGTAAAGCTAATAGCACCTTAAATCCTTTTCGTAAGGAGTAGGATTTAAAAACAAAAAAAAACCAAAATATTGCCATTTACTTAAATAACAGGTAATCCTTTAACCCAAGGACTTTACATGCTAAAATTGACCCCTTTGATGTAACCCAAGGACATAAATATTTACAGTTATAAAGTATCAGCTTTAGAGGAGAGGAAAAAAGCTACCTTTGTAATTTTTAAATCTATATTTGGGTATAAAAATAAAAGAGGTTTGATTGTCGTAGAATGAACTTGAAAGGGATAAAGGGTTAGCATCCATTCATTTAACAAAGACTAGCCAGATGCAGTGGCTCACACTTGTAGTCCTAGCACTGTGGGAGGCTGAGGCGGGAGGATTGCTAGAGGCTAGGAGTTTGAAACCAGCCTGAGCAACATAGCGAGACCCCATCTCTATAAAAAGTAGAAAAATTAGCCTGACGTCGTGGCATGTGCCTGGAATCCCAGCTACTTGGGAGGCTGAAGCAGGAGGATCACTTGAGCCTAGGAGTTTGAGGTTGCACTGAGCTTTGATGACACCACCACACTCTAGACTGGGCAACAGAGTGAGACCCTGTCTCAAAAAAAAAAAAAAAATTTGAGCACCTGCCATTTTCTCAATGGCTTGATAGACATCAGTACAGAAAATAGGATGAGTAAAGAGAGAAATCAAAATAGGGGACCAGATGGACCTGAATGGAGTGAACACGTGGAAATAGTAGAGAAACGAATAACTTCGGAATGTCTTTGAAGAGTTTGAAAAGGCAGGGCAAAATACCTTCTTGTTAATTTTCCATTTTGTTTACAGGCATGCATGTAGGGAATACCGGATTCACAAAGAACTGGATCATCCCAGAATAGTTAAGCTGTATGATTACTTTTCACTGGACACTGACTCGTAAGTGGGGTGCCATTTTACCTTAGCAGTTTATATTATTTTGTTGCAATGTTGACTATTCATGGAATAGAGCATAAGTCCAGGTCGAGGAAATACCCTCTGAGGGAACCAAATATATTAATTTATGGGCAAGTGATTATAAATTCAGATTTGGGTTAGTAATACATCTTAGGCCAAAGGACATATGCACTTGTATGCTGGTAAATGTTTAACAACTAACTTCATGTGGAGAGAGATCAGGCTCATTTGTAGTGTTTGCCAGTTTCCATGGTATAGATACTCCCACTGTGTCCAATTTTGAGCTACCAACTGTTTTTTTAAAGTTTTATTGAATTATAATTCACATACTATACGATTCATTCGTTTAAAGTATACAATTCACTGTTTGTTTTTTAATAGTATATTCATAGGCAACCACCAGAGCTAATTTTAGAATATTTTCATCACCTCAAAAGAAACTCTGTACCTTTTATTGTGATCCCTCTATTCCACCACTCCTATCCCTCTCCCACAGCCGTAAGTAATCAATACTGTCTTATCTCTATAGATTTTCTATTCTGGACTTTCATATCAATAGAATCATATAGCATGTGAACTTTTGTGACTGGCTTCTTCAACTTAGCACGATGTTTGCAAGGTTCACTCTTGTAACATGTATCAGTACTTCATTCCTTTTTATGGCTGAATAATATTTTGTTGTGTGGATATTCTGCACATTATCCGTTTGTCCAATGGTTTATTAACCAGCTCACAAAATTCCTGAAAATTTAATAGGCAGCTCTTGGTAACTGGCACAAGTTGGTGCCAACATGCCACTTGATATACAGCAATGAGTGCAGACTGTTCAAGAGAGTTTCTTTTCCACTCCAGAGACTCTGATGAACACTGACAGGCCTTTTTAAAAAGTACTAGCAGTGTGATTTTATTCTAGAACAAAACAATGAATGTGGTACAAATGAAGATAGAGCTTAATGCTGCATGTTGAGATGTAGGTTCATAGGCTTATAGGATGTTAGAATTGAAAGGGGTCTCAGAGTCCAGTCTTCTCATTTTATATAGGTGGGTTTTGAGGGACCAGAGAAGTTAAATGACTTGTCTAAGATCTTCAATAATTTTGAGCATAATTATATTTTGTTACTTGGTATAGATAAGCTCTAGAGCCTCTGGGTTTACCCAGCAGTTTAGCTGGATATATTTCAGCATTTGGGAATGTTTCTCTATAGAGTCTGGACTAAATCAGGAGAACGTATCCTAGTTCTGGTCTCTAGGTTTCCCTCAGCCTTCCAGGGTGATTCTAGGAGTTTTGGTCTGTTCTAGCCAGCAGCTATCTCAGAGATGGCTACACGGACAACCAGACCACATTTGGAAATGACCTTAAAAGGAGACCATAATTCCCTTTGGAAACATGACCTGTTCCCTCTTCCATTCACTCAGGGATTTCCTATTTTCATTATGGTGGCCCTCACACCAGGCATAGTGTTGTATTTTTCATGGAGTAGGGTTCAAAAAAATAATCTTAGTTAACAGCAGGATTAGGAAACTGGGACAGGGTGACACCAGTGTTTTGCTTCGAGTAAATTCCTTGAATACTAGGTAGACCCCCCCTGTGAAATGTAAGTACAAAAACTGTTTCAGAGATAGGTATGATGACTTGGATTCTCCACTGTTTTGAATTACATATTTACTTTTAACTAATGTGAGAAATTGAGTTGATTCTGTACTATTCTTGAGTTGATTGCTTTGTTCTTCCAGTTGTATGTATGATGAATATTCACCAAAAATAAGTCAGACCATTGTTTTACAAAGTCTTCTGAGAATTGCTTGGGTATTTGTAATTTTTTTCCCCCATCCATAGTCTGGAATAATTGCTTGGGTATTAAAAGTGAGATTTTATTTCCAGCTTGAATTTGGGTCAAAGAATCAGTCCATTGAGCATGAGAGTCTGTATCTCAGATTTCAGAATCTCCGATCAGAGAATCTATAAATTTCAGATATTTATTCTCAAATAGGGTGCTAGCATACCCTGCTATGTTTTATAAGAAGCATAAGGTATTGCTCAGTTTGGAGAGTCCCCAGGACCATGTGTATCCACATTCAATTACAGTGCTTTTTGAAGGGCTCATGTTACCCAGTGGCCCATAGTGCTAGTCCTGAGCCTGTTTGTTCTCAGTTCTGTCCCTCACACTTCCCCTGCTCTGCATCTTATGGGAGTTAGCCCTTGTACACGGTGTTCACTGGGCTTATGTGTCAGCTGGTGTCCAACTGGGTTAGGCTAATGGGGAGGCAGAGATGGGGGGGTGGTGTCTTTATCCCTCTCTCCTGCAGTTCCAATTTTCCCTGGTGACTCTGGTTTTAGGTTGCACCATCTCCGCCCTCTGGCCTTAGGGTGCTAATGGCTTCCTGCTGTAGATAATCTCTGGGGTGCCTCACTGGCCAGTTTGTCTTCTCAGCTCTTCCATCATCTGTGTGATTGGTTGCCTGAATTAAAGCCTCTCTGTTTTAAGTAGTCCCGCGGTTTTTATTTCCTGGCTGGACATAACCCACTGACATACCCACATTGTCACAACGTAGAATAGTTCAAAAGGTTTTCATCTTTTAGGGATATTCAAATAGTTTAGGAAGCCTTACTTCAGTTTTTAGCCTTGGAAAATAGACACATGACCTGTAATGCCATGAATGGCATGTAGTTTTAAATTGGGGTTTGTGTGATGAATTGGCATAAGTGAAGGAATAAGAACCCATACTGTGTCATAACACATCTGTTAGAACCACAGATACTGTACTTCTACAAACTCTTTTACATTTTGTGTTTAGCAGTGAGAAATTGTTGTGCAGTATCGCGCCATACTGCCAGGAGACGTAGTATGCAGTCAGTCCTTGGGACCTGGGCAAACCCTAGGTTCTTCTGCACCGTCAGCACTCAGGGTTATGTAAAATGTTTGCAGTGAGAATTGTGTACTTGATCACAATATGGTTGTTTAGAAATTGATGCGTGAAGTGGGTATATAAAGGAAGAGAGAAGATATCTAGCTTAAATACATCATAGTTCTTGTCAGTATTCTCATAGTCTAGATTCAAGAAGAGGTCTGCAACAGATTCCAGTGTGGAGGGCATAGAGGCTTTTCACCAAGAGTGGAAGCAGTTTCTTAATGTAAACCACTCAGGTAGCTAATACTGAATAAAAAATAGAAGAGTATTTTAGGGAACAAAGAACAAAGGAGTGAGGAGCTAATTACCTAAAGTTTTCACTGGGACTGGTTTAGATAGTCTTAATCTGCTTGCTCTTATCCCGTGGTTAAATGCTGGTTTATTTGTCTTTAGGTTTTGTACAGTATTAGAATACTGTGAGGGAAATGATCTGGACTTCTACCTGAAACAGCACAAATTAATGTCGGAGAAAGAGGCTCGATCCATTATCATGCAGATTGTGAATGCTTTAAAGTACTTAAATGAAATAAAACCTCCCATCATACACTATGACCTCAAACCAGGTATGTCTAACTTTTAGGAGACAGTGTTGGTGCCTATTCTTTGATCTTGTGAGTGACTTTTAATTTTATAAAGTTAAAGAACTCGGCAGCAGCCAAGAAGTCTTGTTAACATCTAACTTTAGATTGCCTGGGTAGGTGTGGGAAGAAGAGTCCTGGACAGGCAGCACTGAGTTTAGGAGGGTGGGGTGGGTTAAATACTCTGTAGAAACAATGCCTTTGTCTTTGGAGCTGGGGCAGTTCATGATGTCAGTCCCATTAAGAAAGAACTGCGCTGGGAAGTTCAGTTTTGTTTTTTCCCATTACTCACACTATGTAGCAGTTACTCTTCTTTAGTCTTCTTTGATAAGTGCCCCCAAATTAACATTTTGGACATAATCCTCCCATTTCATTGAACTTTGAGTAATTTTCATCTTTTTGTATACTTGTCTAAATTCAGTAGTTGTCAGCAGAGAGTAGAGAGCTGTTAGACTCCTTACCTCTATATTTTGTCGTTATCCTCAGCTGTGCTTTAAAAGTCTGCATGTGTTCTGTGTAGACAACTCTAACCAGCTCAACTTGGGCTATAGGAAGATGGTTCCCATTTACCTTCTGGTGTGGCAAAATCGTTAACTTTGCTTTACCCTTCTGGTAGCTACATATTAAATATCACTATTGACTGTTTTTAATGTTCTAATACAGTTGAGATTACTAAAAATTAATTATAATGATATGGTGTTTTTTGTTTTTTTTTTTAAGATGGCTATTTTAGTGTGATTGAATTTTCTGGCATTGAATTCAACACACTTTCCTGCCGTAGGAGCAGTAGATGGCGCTGTGGTACTAGCTTTGATTCCCTTGTGTGTTTTCTTTAGTTCCCACCGCCGCCCAAACTACTATTCTACATAGGGTAGTTTAGAAATCCTCACTGAAAGTTCAAATGAAACTTTCCCATCATTTTTGACCAACTATACAAGTAATATTCTACTTTAGCCAGTTGTTTTTATTTCCACAGCTCATAGTGGTGGTTTTGGCACAATAAGCAGGTGATTCTTGGAAAATACAAGTTTCCAGCAGACACTGAGTACTCTCCCTCAACCTCCAGAGTCCAGATTGCTTTATTTGAAAGATTTAGATGTTTGCTTCTGCATGAGAGAGTTTGAGTTCAGTTGTCGCCTTGTCTGTTACTACTTTGGAATTTACTCTTAATCAGTAAGTCTCTGCTTATTCATGAAGGTTTTTATCTTTTTAGGTAATATTCTTTTAGTAAATGGTACAGCGTGTGGAGAGATAAAAATTACAGATTTTGGTCTTTCCAAGATCATGGATGATGATAGCTACAATTCAGTGGATGGCATGGAGCTAACGTCACAAGGTGCTGGTACTTATTGGTAGGTATCCAGGAGGTCTGCCAGGTGATGTGGCTCTGCTGTGCTGAAGCGTTGATCATTTATAATGAATTTCTGTATACCGTCTGCTAGGCAAAATGCCATAAACCAAAGCAGACTTTCTCCCCAGATAGTTAGTATCTTTTCAGCAGTTTGACTCTTTGTATTTATGTTAATTTATCTTAATTTTTGTTTTCCTTTCTTGAAAACTCTGAGAGAGAGTGCTTATGTGTAGCCACGTGTTTGAGATGTATTTTTCCTCCCTAGGACTGGCCTTATAAGTCAGTAGAGAAGGGGCTGCTCTTGTGGTATACATGAAGAATGGCCCCAGGTTGTTTTCATTACAAATGCAGGTCTCTCTTCATGGGTTAATGGGATGTGGGATTTGTTTCTAGAGCTGCCTGAGGATGTTCTACCCTCAGGAACTAGGGAGTTAATAAAGATCAGGATGAAAAATAACCAAAGCATCAAATGAAATCTATACAGGACAAAGTGAGCACAGTTTACCAGAAGTTTATTCATGTCTGTTAGCCATGTTCTCAAAGTTTTTGAGGCACATTTCTTCCCATCTGTTATCACCTGTCTCCCCCATCTAGTTCTGCCTGCTAGTTCTATGACCTTTCCTATTTTTGCCTACTATTACTTTTGACAGTGAGAACAATAAAAGATACTTGGAGCGCAGGCATTGAACTTTGTGATTATAAAGGTATGTTAACAAAACTACCTTTTCCCTTTTGAGGTTGTCACACAAAGCCACATATTGGCATATGTGAGTCTGAACCTGGAGAAGGTTCCATAGCACTAAAGATGGGGTAACCACAGGGTCAGATGGTCAAATCACTTATCTTTGGGACTGGAGGGCCCTGGGCCTTAGGAAAATACTATTTAGGAATGAGGGGGTTGATGAGGAAGTAGGAAAGAGGGATGTGTCGTTCACAACACACTAGATCAGCCCTGTTCCCATCACTCAAACCCTGCTAATAACACCATATAGGCAACACTCTGTTTTCTGTTGTTTCTTAGTGTTTGTGGAGACAGTACCTATAGTAAAAAGCCAGTCCCTAAATTAAAACTGTGAAATTCTAGGTTTTAAATAGAAGCTACATTTATAGTGTTTATTCACCATGGTGGTTATTGTGGGTTAGTGTTCCTGTCACTAAGTGATGCAAACATGTCTGCCATTGAAAATTGTGGAAGCAGGTCTATACCTCTGCTATATAAATTCACTGGAACTTGGATTTGAGCTTTGTGTTCAATAGCTTGTTCTTTTTGAAAGGGGTAGTTTTTTCACATTTAAAATAGTTGCCCCATTGCCACTTAGTGCTATATATTTTCTTAGCTATAAAAATTCAGCCACTGGAGTTTAAATAAAAATTATGTGATGTTTGAGATTTGCTCCAAAGTAGCCTGTTATAGGGGGTGCATGGGGATTGGCCACATGTTGATAATTATTGAAGCTGATGATGCGTACTTGGGGGTTCATTTTATTCTTTCTGCTTTAGATTATATTTGTTATTTTTCATAATGAAAAGATAGGGGGCTTCTGAGAAAACTAAGTCTTATAGATTTCTATGAAGGTTTTGAAGAGTCTCCATGCTGGTAGAAACATTCTCATAATCACCTTTCTTGGGATGACCCAGAGTGAGAGAAGTAAGCTGGAAGGCTATAATGCATTCTAAGTGACTGTTTGCAGTATTTGGTTATTCCAGAATTCTTCTACATTGAATACTCCTTTTAAATAAGTAACCTGTAGACTGTGCCATGAGAATCATTTTTCTGTATGTGGACTGTTGATTGATGGAATATACAACTATGGTTTTGGGGTTTGTTTTTTTTTTTGAGACAGTCTCACCCTGTTGCCCTGGGTAGAGTGCCGTGGTGTCAGCCTAGCTCACTGCAACCTCCAACTCCTGGGCTCAAGCAATCCTCCTGCCTCAGCCTCCCAGAGTGCTAGGATTAAGGCATGGGCCATAGCACCCGGCCTACCACTATGTTTTTTAACACAATTTAGTGTAGTATCATAGAATTGTCTTTTACTCTCCTTCCCAAAGTGCTGGATAGGAAATTATTATAGAATGCTTGTTATTTTCGATATTATTTGGGTGAAGAATTAGTTTCAGTCATTTACAAATGGAGGAACTGAGATCTAGAAAGTGATTTGCTGGACTTGTACTATCAAGTGACAGTGTCTTTTGTATTCTAAAAATCTTGCTAAATTATTATTCTGCCTTCAGATGAGTTCAACAACTCCTACTATTCTTCCCTGCCACTGCCACAAAAAGTTATAAATACATTAAAATGGTCATTTTATATTTGTTATTTTTCAAAGATCATATTTAAATATATTTAAAAAATCTAGAACTATAAAAACTAGGGTTCAGGGAGGTTTTAGTGGCACTTAGAACAGCCGTTCTTTTTATAAATTTTTTCTTTTTTTCTTTATTTTTATTTCTTTCCCTTTTTTCGTTCTTAGTGAGTTCTCGATATGTATTTCATTTTTTAATGTGTTTTTGATAAAAGTTTTCATTGTGAAATAATAATCTCGTTAAAGGTCTTAATTATCCAAAAATGTCTCTTAAGAATATGAAATTAAACTTACTTTTTATAAAAAAAGAAAGCAAGCCTATCATCTGAAACTAAATTTGATAGAGGTAGTGGATCGGAGAGGGAACATTTTCTCTCTTACCTCTTGTGGTACCCTCCGAGCTATAAGTTTAGATTTTTATATATATTTCTATACCAGGAGCGCAGCGGGGTCCCAGATAAAGAGTTTTCCACAGAAATGATCTTGCTAGCATGAAAATCTGCAGAAATCTATCTGCTATCATCAGAATTCTGCCTTCCAGCTATGCCATGGCACATTTATTTGGTTTCCTAAATGCCAGGAGGCACTTACCTTCCACACTATACAATTTGGTGTGGTTGTCTCTCCCCTAGTTTCTTTAGAGTCCCGTGGTGGGGAGGGAAGGAATTTAGATGAGGGTTGAGTTATTCTAACAGCTAGTTTGTTTGGCTTTTGCTACACTATTTGTTCATCTTCCAGTAAGCCCCTGATCACCCTGGAAGTAGGAAATATAAAGTATCTTCTGATAATTTGCACTTTAAAGTCACCCTTGATTATACATTGGAGTTATTTCCAGTCCAGATTTCCAAAAGAGGCTACCATAAGAAGGCAAAACGGACTATCCCCTCAGAGATCTGTACTGTGTCCTGAATTCATTTGGACTTTTAGAACATTTATTTTAGAGATATATCCTTTAGGCACCGTGAAAGGAACCACATACCATTTCTAGTTATATTTTAATGTTTGTTGATGAAACTATCATAAAGAGGAATGCACTTCTTTGTGTCCCACAACCCCCTTTAAAAACTTGTTGAATGACACTTATTAGGCACAAACCTGAGAAAGAAGGCTGGGGTAAGTGAAGTGGGACTAGCAATAGTATTTCTCCCTTTCAGTAAATTGAGAAATATATTTTAATGCCCTGTAAGGATATTATTGCCTCCCTAAGTTAGACTGTCTTTTCATTGACTCCCCATATAGATCCAAGTTGACTGTTTAAATTTAGATATTTCTGTATTCAACAAGGTCTTTTGTTTTGTTTTTTTGTACATATCTTAGATTTATATAATAATTTTTCTAAGAATTTTTATTTCTCATTTGTCCCAGGTATTTACCACCAGAGTGTTTTGTGGTTGGGAAAGAACCACCAAAGATCTCAAATAAAGTTGACGTCTGGTCAGTGGGTGTGATCTTCTACCAGTGTCTTTATGGAAGGAAGGTAAGGGAGAAGGTGGGAGGGAGTTGCTTCCTTCTTGGGTGGCACATGTCCATAGTGCCTTGGTATGGATTAGCTTCTTGGAGTTAATCAGTGGGTTATACAAAATGGGAATCCTGAAAGTAGTGATTTAAAGAGCAGACTTAATCATATAAGCTTTATGCATAAGCAGAAATTCTCGACCCTAGGGCACCTAATGAATTCTTCTGGGCTGTTAAGAACATGCATTTTTGCTGTTCTCAAATTATCCAGGACATGTTTTGATTCTGATAATATGTGTAGGGACATAACATGAAATAGTTTATTAAAATATACAATATTCCCATAAGCCATTCTTTTGGGTCTCAAGAACTGAAACTCAAAATATCCCCAGACTCTATTTCCAACCATCTCATTAGTTAAAGCTGTTTTTAATGAAACCATGCTTTATATTTCTATACTGAGGAATAAGTATCAGAAAGTATTCATTGTTACCTCTGATCAAGGTGACATATCCTTTCTACAGTAACAACCCAGTTAGTAAACTACACCGAATGAATTTTCATATTCGTTTTTTCTTTGTGAGCATTTCTTCTAAATGTATATATTATTATAGGATCCATTTGTGTATTTATACTCCTGTTTCTGCTTTCAGTGTTTGTATGCTTCAGTGTTCCCAAGTAGGCCATATGGGAGTTTTGCATCTTCTCTTAATATTGTGATTATAGTCCCCTTATACCAAGCTCTTAATTCAGATAATAGCTTCCTCTTTAACTTCTCCGTGGTCTGTCTGTCTTTATCTTACCTCTCTAAAACAGAGAGACTATTCAGAACTAGTGGGGCTTAATTATTGTTTATATTCTCTGACACTCTTACGTTGTTGCTGATAATGGTGGTAGGGGTTATCTAGAAAGAATTGTTTGAGATCTGTCAGTAGATCACTGTAGAGATGACAGTGAGCTTGAACTTGTTTTTGGAGTTTATTAGCAAATGGCAGTTTGGTCACAGATGAAGCCACTAAGTAACCCCAGCTCTTTTTTGTTCCCACTCTCTCCTTAACCCTCTACTCTTTTACTTTCTTTTCATCTCTTTTTATTTGTGTCTTGGGTTGGCCAGTGGCACATATATGTATTGCTTAGGGCCCTGGGTATCACTCAGAGCAAAAGAGGTTGTTGGTTCCTGCTCTGAATCTTCCTTTTCTTTGCTGTGAGCAAAGCTTAGCAGAGCATTATGATATGGGAGATGCTGCTTCTGGTCCCAGCTCTGCCTTGACCTGGAAGTCGGACTGTGAGCAAGTTAATTAAGCTGTGCACTCTTACTCCCTTAATCTATAAAACCAGAGAATTAGAGGAGATCATCTCCAGAGTTCCTTATAGCAATTCTTAACAGACGATGTCTTCTTTCCTTGTTATTGAATTGTTTTCCTTTAATTTTAACCAGAGGCCCACTTTTGTTTGTTTTGTTTTCATATGTCAGCCTTTTGGCCATAACCAGTCCCAGCAAGACATTCTGCAGGAGAATACTATTCTTAAAGCTACTGAAGTGCAGTTCCCGCCAAAGCCAGTAGTAACACCTGAAGCAAAGGTAAGTTTCGAACCACTGGTCAGCAGAAATGACTGCTTTGGTTTCTGTATTATTTTAGGGGGTAATAATGGATGAATTGTTCAATGTGAAATTCAGGAGTTATTAAAAACATTAGGATGGCATGAATTAATATTCCTGAGAACAGTAGAAGACTATTGCATTCACTCTGATCACCTCATCCCCAATTCTGGTAAAGGGAATGTTGATGAGTGGGTTTTTTAATCCAGAAAGGCTCCCTAGAATCAGGGAAGGAAAGGGAGAGCAGCCTCTTTAGTAGAGAGAGACCACAGGCATATGGGCAAAGTGAAGGGTACCCAGCTTTGTCCAAAGTCAGGGGTTGTGATCAGTTTGGGGAGCTAAAGGCCCACATAGAAAAAATTATGTAAGAGCACGCAGACATCAAAGGGTTAAATGGCAAGTGAGTAGTAAGCAGTAAATTCTGTAGCAGTTGGTGAGAGCATTACTAAAAACTCAGTGGGGCAAAGGAAACATGGAATGGGAGCTGGAGAAAATGAAGCTATAAATAATCCCTTCAGCCTTGCTTCATATATGGGTGGTAGCTACCCATAGTTTGTCCTTGCTGTGTTATTTATCTCTTTTATATATTAACTCCTTTTACTTAGATAGGTGGTGGTCAGCCCCATTGGATGCCATGATCATTCAGCGTTTCTAAAGTCCTTTATAAGTCTAATCCCTTTTGTCAGTGTTTGGCCTCTGCTGGTCCCTCGTAGTGCACCTCTGTAAAGTAGGTTAGGAAAGAACCTGTTTTCCAAGTGCTTTAGCGACTTGTTATAGAGTAAGGACGAATAATTCCTGACTGATACCTTCCTGTCCCCCTCATTCAACAGTTCAAGTACTGCATAACCAAGAAATAAATCTGCAACGGAGAAGTCCTATAATACATTTTAAGGCAAATGCAGATTTCCTGACTATCCTGGGAGAGGGCTGGAGAGAGGCTCAGCTTTGAGGCCTGGCAAACCTAATTTTTGTGTCAGCTCTGTACTCAATAGCTGTGGAACTTTAGGCAAGTTTACTTAAACCTTTTAAGCTGCTTTTCCTTAGCCATAAAACAAAGACAAAAACACCTTCCCTAAAAAAGGGCTTGGTAGGTGCACCTGTAGTCCCAGCTACTCTGGAGGCTGAGGCGAGAGGATCGCTTTAGGCCAGGAGTTCCCTATAGGCTGCAGTGAGCTAGATCGCGCCTGCGAATAACCACTACATCCCAGCCTGGGCAACATAGTGAGACACTGGGTGTAGATAAAGTGGTTACAGGTCTGCCTTTCCCACTAGCTTTAAGCCCCTGGAGGGCAGGGCCACTGGCAGTGGCCACACCCCGTGGTGCACCTGCATGTGGCAGCGACGCTCTGAGTGTTCACTGGACTGAATGAAATCCTCTCTCCGTTTAGCTTCTTGCTGGTACTGGCATGACCTTGCTGCTGCTTCTAATGTTATGATTGATTCTACTGCCTATTAAGTGGGTCCTCATAATGGCTCTGAATTACATCTGTGAAATAAGATCCAAGAACTTTGTGACAAACCTCCAAAAATCTCATGTTATTTCCAGATTTACAATTTTTTTTTTTTTTTTTTGAGACAGAGTCTCACTCTGTTGCCTGGGCTAGAGTGCTGTGGCGTCAGCCTAGCTCACAGCAACCTCAAACTCCTGGGCTCAAGCAATCCTTCTGCCTCAGCCTCCCAAGTAGCTGGGACTACAGGCATGTGCCACCATGCCCGGCTAAATTTTTTCTATATATTTTTAGTTGTCTGGCTAATTTCTTTCTATTTTTTAGTAAAGATGGGGTCTCGCTCTTGCTCAGGCTGGTCTCGAACTCCTGAGCTGAAACAATCCTCCCACCTCAGCCTCTCAGAGAGCTAGGATTACAGGCATGAGCCACCGTGCCCAGCCAAGACATTGTCTCTTTAAAAAAAAAGAAAGGTGGTCATGAGGTTTGTGTGGCCTGGATAGCACCTAACAGTAGCTTCTGCAGCTGCTCCTATTACCCACACCATAGCTGCCACCCAGAATTGACACTGAGGGACTTGAATACCTCACAGATGTTTAATTCTCCTCATTTGTCATGTCTTTTGAGACTATTTCTTTATACCACTTTTGTCAAACATTCATGTTTATTCAATAAATAGGTGAACAAATGTTCCCAAAACTTTAGAGATGGTTAGATGGACTTGTTTTGAAAAATACAGAAATATCTCCACATCTTTCCACTAATTATCTCCCATCTCCTTGTATCTCTCTGGTTCCTCCCCTCTTCCCTATGTCTCCTCCCACAACCAATGTTTATTGAGCGCCTATTAAGCACTAGACACTGTTCTAGGGAATGGAGATGGAACTGAATATGTAGCACTAAACTACATGGACCAGTTCCCTATCCTTAAGGAGCTTACATTCTGCTAGGTGAGACAAGCAATAAAACAAAAGGTGGATACATTTCAGATGGTGATAAATGTTATGAAGAAAATAAGTCAGAGTAAGAGGGATGGGGAGGTGGGAAGCCCTTGTTGGATGGCATGGTTAGGGAAGGCCTCAGTGATGAGTGACATGTTGAGCAGTGTCTTGAATGATGGGAAGGTGGGAGCCACGTGTAGGTTTGGGGGAAAAGCGTGTGGAGCAGAGGAAGCGAGTGCAGCTCAGCTGCAAGAATGAGCTTGGCAGGTCCACAGAGCAGGCGGAGCAGAGGGGAGGGTGGTAGAGAGGTGACAGGGTAAGTGTGAGGAGAGCAGTTGGGGTTTTAATCAGGGCAACTGTGCCATCTGATTGCGGTTTTAGGAGCCTACACTGGCAGCTATGCAGAGAGAAAATTCAAGGTAAAAGAAGTTTATTTGACCAGTATCCAACCCAAGATAACCTGTTTAACTGCAATTAACTCCAGCTCCATGTATCTCACTAAGAAAATACCATTTTTAAAGGCCAAGGATCATTATGTTCATTTCTATGAATTTGTTTTTATCTCCCAAATGTTTTAACCAAGCCAGTACCTGTAAGCATCTTTGTTTTTTAAAAACCAGGGTTGGTATCATACTTTTATGTTTTGTTAATTAAATGGGGAAACAACAAAATCAATAGCTTGTTTCCTGTTTTAGATTTTGTTTTAAATAAACTTTGCTTTTAGAGAAGTTTAGGTTCACAGCAAAACTGAGCAGAAAGCACAGAGTTTCTATATACCTCCTGCCCCACGTGCAGCCCCCATCAACATCCCCGTCACAGCGGCACACGCGTCGCAGTTGGGGAAGCTACCTGCGCCGACACAGCATCACCCTGACGTGAAGTACAGACGTTCTGTGGTGATGGTGTTTTATATTTTTAAAAATTGATCTATTTATTTAAAATAGTTATAACTTTGATTAAATAGAACTATCTGGTTAAAAAAAATAAGAAGCAGGAAACCAGGAGAAGACAGATAATCTGTATAAGGGTCTTTATGATAAAGAGTTGCAGAAACTAAGACTACATAGCCTTCCATACCTAGGGCAAAGGAAACCTCCACGTTGGCAGTAAGTTTGAATTCCGTATCAAACCCCACACACATGTTTTCATGTCTGTTGTATTCAAAGGGATGCAAGTCCTGTTGAGGTTTCCCTTTACTACTTAGGTATGTACCCCGTCATTTACTTAATGACCTTTCAGGGTAGAATGAGATACATAGGGAAATCATTTCATGACCTGTGACACGTTGTCATGTTAGGCATTGTTGGTCTCCTTACACTGTCTGTAATGGCAGTTTATCGTTAGAATTTCCACTTCTTGGAAAGTTCCCTTGAAGCCATGGTTTATAGATGCAGGACCATGAAATCAGACTGTTCCCATCCAATCCAGCCAAAGCAAAGAGAGATTTTTTTTGTTGTTGGCCTTAATGCTTTGGGGGCAAGAGTATTTAGAGGCCATTCCCCTATTCTCCCCAACTTCTGGAATGGCTCAGCTTCCTCTGTCTGGGAAGGAGTCGGTGGTAGCATAGAGGACTGCGGCTGGTGTGTCTCCTCCCTTGTCGTCTTTGAGTCTGCCTGGTGGTCTCCGGGAGAGGCCTTAACCTCCTCCTCTTTTGGAGATGTTTGCTCTGGGCCCTGGCAGCTGATACTGAGCCTCAGGGTTCCCTCTGGGGGAAGAAGATTATCTGCTTCGGTCTTCTTCAAGAAACTCTCCTTTGCAGGCATTTATTCGACGATGCTTGGCCTACCGAAAGGAGGACCGCATCGATGTCCAGCAATTGGCCTGTGACCCCTACTTGCTGCCTCACATCCGAAAGTCGGTCTCCACAAGTAGTCCTGCTGGAGCTGCTATTGCATCAACCTCTGGGGCATCCAATAACAGTTCTTCAAATTGAGACCGACTCTAAGGCCACAAACTGTTCAACACACACAAAGTGGACAAATGGCATTCAGCAGCGGGTTTGGAACATAGCGAATCCAAATGGATCTCATGAAACCTGTACCAGGTGCTTTTATTTTCTTGCTTTTTTCCCATCCATAGAGCATGACAGCATCGATTCTCATTGAGGAGAAACCTTGGGCAGCTCTGGCCAGGCCTCATAGGAAAAGGCCCCACCCGAGGTTCCGGCGTCAACGGCCACTGTGTGTGGCTGCTCTGAGTGAGGAAAAAATTAAAAAGAAAAACTGGTTCCATGTACTGTGAACTTGAAAACACGCAGACTCAGGGGGGGTCCCTGATGCAATGCTTCAGATGAAGAATGTGGACTTGAAAATACAGACTGGGCTAGTCCAGTGTCTATATTTAAACTTGTTCTTTTCTTTTAATAAAGTTTAGGTAACATCTCCTGAAAAGCTTGTAACGCAAAGGCTCAGCTGGGGATGGTGTTTGACTTTGGAGGAAAAAAGTTGCTATTGCCCGTTAAAGGCACTAGAGTTAGTGTTTTATCCCTAAATAATTTCAATTTTTAAAAACATGCAGCTTCTCTCCCCCCTTTTTTATTTTTGAAAGAATACATTTGGTCATAAAGTGAAACCCGTATTAGCAAGTACGTGGCAATGTTCATTCCAATCAGATGCAGCTTTCTCCTCCGTCTGGTCTCCTGTTTGCAATTGCTTCCCTCATCTCAGTAGGGAAAACATTGAGTGGGAGTACTGAGATGTGTGGGTTTCTGCCATTGGACAAAGAATGAGGTTAGAAGACTGCAGCTTGGAGTCTCTCTAGGTTTTCAACTATTTCTTCACAATTTCAACACTTGACGGTTGTCCCTTTTAATTTATTTGAAGTGCTATTTTTTTAAATAAAGGTTCATCTGTCCATGCAGTCCTCTTGGATTCTCTGAATATAGTAACTATCGCAGCTATTCCACAGGTAGGCAGAAAACGGGCTGGGGAGCCAGGCGCTCAAGGGATCAGTCGACTGTTCCTACCCCCAGTCTTTGTGTGCTTGCTAAATGGTGTACCTTTCTTGTTAACCACATTATTAAAACTTGATCAGCACATAAGCTTTCCTCTGTTAGATCTTTTGCCAGGAAACAATCTTCCCCCAACCCTCTAAATTTTGTGGGTGTGTGGTGGGTTGTGTGTGTGTGCATGTACACACCATTTTGTCTAACCCAGTTTAATAGATTCATCAAGTGGAATTAAAAAATAATCTCAAGAGAAATAGATGTTCAAATATGAACATTCCTTTGGAACTAATTTCTTTTTTAAATTTGGTTGTTTCTGAGATGTATGATCAACTGAAGATGGAGCTGAAATGGGAGACGTATGGCCCCACCGTGCCCTTGAAACAGCAAAGCACTCGGCAGTAGAGAGGGAAGGAGGCCAGAGCCTGAACATGTGGTAGCCAGCTTGGAATGTTACTGACATATGTGGCAAGAGGACTCAGCCAGAAATATTTAAAGATGTAGCATTCAGGCATGTGAGCTGGGCAGGGGAGGGAGTCAGGAAGCGTAGAAAGCTCTCAAATAACTCATGACTCTAGTGTTTCTTTTACATGTGAAATATGTCACTGGTGACACATTTTCTGGGGACCTTCGTTTATTTTGTGGACCTGCCTCACTCTCCTCAGTATCAGGCAATCTCAAGGGAAGATGGAGTGTTTCAAACTGGAGAGAAGTTCGTGGGTAGGTATTGTCAGCCCCAGAGGCCTTGGTGCCCACAGCTTTCTACAACTATTTTGTTGCACTGTATATTTACATACACACACAAATATGTACATATAGGGGTGTGTGTGTGTTTGTGTGTATAGTACCTTTTTAAAAAAAAAGAAATCACTGCCTTCAGGCTGCTAAGCAAAGTACCCATACGGTCTCCCAGGTCGATCAGGGTGCTGAAAGGATAGTGTCTGCGTAACAAAGAGATGGCCGAAGCTAGACCATGTTTAAACTTACGCAAAATAATCAAGTTATAGTCCCTTTTTTCTCTCTCCAATGGTTTTGCATTGCTGACTTTTAAACTTTAATTTTTAAACATTTTTTTAAGATTAAAAAAATGCTACACCTTTTAAGCCTTCCTTCTAACTTCCTGTCTCTTTTTTTCACATGGGCTTACAAGTGAAGCTACAGGACTTTATTTGTGGATCTGCCTTTTCTACACTTATCCTGAAGGGATGCCTTCTTCCCTTGCTTTTTTGGGTCTGGGGCCTGGTTGGAGTTGAGTGGGCTGAGCTGAGTCTGCCTTTCCACTGCCCCTGCGTGACAAGCCCCGGAGAACGTGCAGAGCATTGGCCTTTTCTAGTCTTTTAAGAAGCCAGTGAAATCACTAAATGGGGTTCTTCCATGACATATTTTGTTAATATGGGTTTCACTTTTTCCAAGAATGGTCCCTTATTGCCACAGTGTTGATTTACTTTACACAATGACAATATGTATTAATTTGTAATTAAACCCAGCCAGACTGTTTTGGCCTATCCCAATGGGGGAGTGAGGGAGGGAGAAAGGATATTAAAATAAGTTTTAAGAAGTGAATTTCCCAGCCTCTTGATTTTACTCTAGATCTCCAGCTTCAAACAGGGCCCTTACCATTGGTGGGAGCATCCTGAGAACTGGCTGAGTCCCTGTGGACATTGCAGGCATGATGAGAATGTATTGATTCACGCAGCACCTTTTGTACCTCGGACGGTGCCAAGAACTGCGCTTGCTGGTGGCAGTACAGCAGTGAATAGGATAGGGAAGGCCTAGGAGAGAAGGAATTGGGCTCTTCACTGTGAGATTGGCAGCGTGAAATGGAGACTCGCCCAGAAGAGCTGTATGCACGCACTTCTGTGGTGGACCAGGACACGTCAGCTATCTAATAAATGGGGTCTGTCTACCTCCTTCCCTCTAGTCTGGGAAGGACAGGTTTTCTTCCAGCTGAGAAGATTAGCAGTCAAGGAGCTCTTGTGTTTCTTAATTTAGAAAATAGCTCTCTTTAAACATAGTTATCTCTTATAATCCTAGAGCTAGAAGCAAGCATTGGGTCCAGCTCCTTGCTTCTAAGAAGGCAAAGTTTACAAGTAACTTGACCTATCTTGGTGTTTTGTTTTGTTTTTTCCTTTCTGAGGCTCTTTTCTTCCCTCCCTAAGTTCATCATTCTAATTGCTCAAGCTGTGTGTTTTCCTTTATAAGGTAGAATCCCAGAGAAGTTAAGAGCCTAGGCTTTAGGGTCTGGGTTCAAATCCCACCTCTGCAAGCTTCAGGGATATCTCCTTGCCTTGTGGGGGTCAGGGATAGAGATAAGGTACGTAAAGTGCCCTGGCACATAAGAGGGGAATAAAAAAATGTGGTTTAAGAAAGATCACGGATCCAATTACTTGGCCTTTTGGCTAAGATCAAGTATAAAAGGATCATAGATCCAGTAAGTAGAAAAGCTGGTCCTGGAACCCCCAAATTCACTGGTTTGCACTTCAGAGCTTCCTACTCACCAGATGCAGACCTTTTGAGAGACTGCCCCTCTCAGTATCAGCCTCTTGAGATTCCATATCTACCTGTGTCTTATGAGGTCAGCGGGTCTCTTACCCAGCAGTTCCAAGACTGCTTCTGGGGGAGTCTGGGAGAAGCATCCGCATCACCTGGGAGCTGGTTAGAAATGCACAGATACCCCTCCCCGTACCCACTGAGTCAGAGCTGAAGGGGTGGGGCCTAACAATCTGTTTTTGCCCTCCAGGTGATGCTGATGCAGGCTCAAGTTTGAGAACACAGCTGTAGCCTATCTGACTCCCAGGTGGGATGAGCACTGAAGGTTACCGGTCCACCTTCCCGCCAGCCAGCCACGTGATAAGGGTGGGGTCATCGGAGGGGGTGGCTGTCAGCTGGAAGACAGGACTCTTATTTTCTACGCTGGAAATAAAAATCTCTCTTAAGCTCTGGGCTCTCCTAGGACCGATGTCATACATATGCTGCCTTCATGGGGAGCACCAGGAAGGCCCCTACAACACCTCCTTTACGTAGGTCCCTAACAGTACACTCAGGAAGCAGTCACTCTTGGGGGCAAACCTCCCCCTTGGCCTTCTCTGAAGATGTATAACAACTGTTTATCACATTTTCCTTTTACCTGAGGGGCCCTGGGCCGCAGGAGAGGTCTGCTTCTCTTAGGATGAGGAGGAGAGCCAGAGGCTGGACTGCAGCCCTTTGGAAGGGGTTGGGGAGGGCAGGAAAGGGTTAAAGAGGGAGTGGTTAGGGACTCTGTGGCTGCTCTGAGCTCTGTGGTGGGTTGGGGGAACCTGCCAGAGGCTGGGAAAACAGGCAGGCCTGGGAGCAGGTCTGGGACCTGGTGGGGGCAGGGAACACAAGAGAGCTATTGTGCTGGGGGAGCTCAGCAGGGCCCGAGATGAAGGGGTGTGTGTGTGTGTCTCACTGGGCAAGAGACCCTGTGGTGAGAGGGGTCAGAGAGCAGCCCTGACTGACTCCTGGGTGTGGAGGGAAGTGCCAGGCAAGAGAGCTGTGCCATCCTCAGCCTTGTTAGCCTTGGGAGCAGCCTGCAACTGCAGTGGCCTCCTGTGCTGTCCAGGCCTTCTCACCCTGGAGGCCACTTGGAGAGGGAGCAGAGGGCAAAGGGAGGGCTCCAGCACTTGTGCTTGGCAAAGGAGTTTCTCAGCTATGTTGCTTCACAGCCCAGGCGTATACAAGGCAGGGGCAGCTCGCTGATTTTACATGAGGAAACAGGCCCAGAGAGGTTTGGTGACTAGCAGTGGGTGGAGTAAGAGTGACTGGGGAGGGGACTGTAGGCTTGAAAATTTTGTGAGGTGGGTCTCTGAGTGCCATCTTTGGGCAGAGGCTGCTGTAGGTGATGGTGGCACTTGGCCCCCACTCCCTAGGCTCCCTTCACTGTGGCCTCCCCTCCCTAGTGGCTGGTGGCCCTTTGAAATCTACCTGGACACCCAGCTGGTCTGGGCAGCAGCCCTGCCTCCCCAGGAAGTGAACTTGGGTGGGCAAGTAGGGGTGTGGTTTCCCAGAGCATCAGTGCTGCAGGTCCCCTAAGCCATCCGGCCTGTCACACTTACAGATGAGAAAGCCATAGTTCTGTCCTGCCCCACAGAAACTATGTTCCTGCTCCTAAGTGTCCCAATGGATGAGGGAGAATCGGACCCTTGGCCTGGACTCCCTGGAGGTTGCTGTAAGGCTTGCGAGGGTGGGGGATAAAGCAGGGTGAGGCTTGTGTCACAGTGTCCCCTGTAGAGATGTCCACAGGACATAGAAGGCCTCCCTAGGGTGGGCCTTGGCCCATCACAGAGTCAAGACTTGTGCCCCCCGGCCCTGGCTCCCTCAGAGAAGGGGGTACCACTGGGAAGCATGACAAGGAAGGTCTTTCCCTTAAATTAATTTCAGGAGCCATTGCTCCTTCCCAACTACAGACTGCAGAACCTTACCACAGCCTTAACACCAGCACTGCTCCTCAGGCGTCCCCCTGTCCAAGTCAGCTAGGCAAAACTTGCCCAGGTATGGCTTCGCAGAGCAAGATAACAAACAGTAGAGCCCTGAGTGAGGCCTGCGTTCAGGTCACAACTCTCCTACTTGCTGTGTGACCTCGGGCCGGCACTCACACTCTGAGCTAGTTGCCGCATCTGGAAGCTTATGCATTTACTCTGAACACTTTGAGAGCCTTCTGTTAACGTGCTGGTGGGCTCTGTGGGAGATAAAAAGGCACGTTGACTTGGCTCCTGCTTTGAGGAAGCTTCTAGTTGAGAAGCTAAATGTCAGCTGGGAGGTGGTCAGTTCTGTAACAGCGAGATGAGTCCCTGGGGATTGAGGGATGGCGTTGCGTTGGGCCTTGAAGGATGGGCAGAATTAATTGGGATGAGAAGGAAAGGGTGCTTGCGGCTAAAAGTCCTTCGTACCATCACAGAAAACAATGTTTGTCACTCCAGGGCCCCTCCATGCTCTCTGACACGTCCAGTCCTCTGCAAATGCTGTTCCATTGCCTTGGCCATCTGACCATCTTGGAAAACTCAGCTCAAGAGTCACCTCCATCCTGTCTTCCTTTGGGTTCTCACGGCACCTTGTACGTCTCTCCATTATTTTAC